ATGTAAAGGTGGTCTAACCCTTTAACGGAACAGAGCCTCGTTCTAATCGTCATCCGTAACCACCGGTCTGAATGGGGGAAACACGTTGCTCGCGAGCGTTCTACTTTTTCTTTGTTTATAAATAAACGAGCCGCAGTCGGGGTGGGGTACTTCTCTGACCGTTTCGGCGAACCGCCGCAAGGGAGAGGGACGCGTTGATCGCGAGAAGATCGTGGATAGAAATGGGAACGGAGATGACGGTACAGGGCGATTCATCTGTGGATCATCGTGTCGGATAGTAAATTATTTTGCAACAATTGCATCACCTCTGATTTTCACGAATAACACAGGTTGCTCTACATTTAAAATTGGATCACGATAGAAAAATAAATCTTTCTGTTTTAAATAAGAATACGATTCTAGACGAAGTCGAGTTAGACGAATGCACTCCCTCCCTAGAGGGAAAAAATCGGCCTTTGCCCTACCCTAGAAAAAAAAAATTGAATTTTATCCCCTCCCTCCTCCCTCTAGAGAAAAAAAAGATTGTATTAACTAATATTTTCTATGTAAAAATAAACCTAAAACCCACTTAAAGTAATATTATGAAATTTACCTTAAAATAAATTTTGCCTACCCCCTCGACTGATAACCTGGCTACGCCCATGGAAAAGGGTCTCGAATGTGGTACACGATGCATTCAGAGATGGACAAGAAACGAGGAGAGAGGACAGAGAGAGAAAGAGGTGGGAATCGCGTGTGCGTGGGTGACGTTCGGCCGATGGCAAAACCGGGAACGAGCAGCGAGAGAGACAGAGCAAAGGAGCCGGAACATCGACATCAACGAAAATAGAATCACGGTGAATCTAGGCGGGGGCACGCGTGCAACAATGTTTTAGGATTGTGTACGTCGTTTCGGGACCAACAATACCTTTCGACGATTCGCCTTGTTACCGGCACCTGTGTCCTTCAAAGCTGTTCCAATACAGATCAGATAGCTTGTACGGCACTTTATTCGATACTCATCGCTAAATATTTCGTCTCTGTTAGATGAAATATCTCTGATTTTTCAGCTCGTTCTAAGGACAGATCCCGAGCAAAAACAACAATGGCGGCTTGGCGCGTCACGCGACCCGTCTCTCATTGGTCCAGACGCCGCGCAATACAGTAAAACCTGCAACATTATTACTCGCAACGATCTATAACGATCGATGTATACGAAATTTTTTATCATAAAAAAGTTCTCTTTTTATTCACGTAACAGTTGTACTTATACTGTTTCGGCTAAACTGTATCAGAATTAACTCTCAAGGACACGGGCAGCGTATTCCGTACGAAGAAATCTCCCATTTCTCTAAATTTTTTTTACTCGAAAAATGTTTTTTTTTTTGTCATTCTAATTACCCACCAAAGAAAAAAGAAAATTACTGCAATTAAAAGATAAACGAAAAGCCTGTTATTGACTTTTAAAGTTACGAAAAAAAGGGGATGGCATATTCACGGTCCGCGTCCTTCAGAGTTGAATACGAATTACAAGAAATGTGTGTGTATAAGAGAATAGGAGCAAATATAGAATAAACAACAGTTAAATACGATCTCTTGATAATCGAGAAACATTTCTTTTTCATCGAACATATTAGTAAAAATCGCGCGATTTCGTTTCGATGAGGGAGGAAGGGGGCGGGGATCCATCCTTAAAACGAACGAACAGTTAACGAGACTCCTCGTTTTCACGTTGACTCCAGAGTCCGTTTTCTTTCCTTCGAAGTCGGTCGGAAAGTGATACGGATAGACATCGCACGAAAAAAAGTGTCTACGGTAGACAACTACGGTGTCAGTCTATGGTAGAAAAGTGAATAGAAAAAAATACTGCATTACCTCCGTATAGGTGCGCCGCGACTGGGACCAACGACGCGCTTATAGGGAGAGGGGTGGGGGGGGGGATGTGGGGCACGATTCTTCGTGATGTCCGCCTCGTTATCGAGAAAACGTGACCAGTACTTATATGAGAATGTTCAGCGACGGGTACGGGACAAGACACAACGCGAAACGGTTTGAGAGGCGTTGAACGACTGTCGAATAAATCGTTGGAGATCGAGGGGGGTTCGTCGTCGCGATACAGGGCTGTCAATAGTAGAGCCTTAAAGTCCCTGTGACGTAATAGGGAGTAGTGGAGGGGGAACACACTATAGCAATTCTCGTATGCGAATGATTCCTATGGTCTGTTCCCCCTCCACCACTCCATACTACTATATCATATGGACTTGAAAGGCCCTTCACTCCTGGCAACTAGTGATGGGCAATATAGTATCGATATTTCGAATATCGATACTTCTCAATTTAAATATCGGTATTTTCCGTCGATATTTAATGTGACGATATATATTCCAGTATCAATACTTAATCCATAAATAGGGAAATTTCGATACAATCGTTGTACACTGCCGTAATATAACAGGTGTCGTAAGGAAAATGAACGAATCGCGAGCTTCCCACAAAGTTTGCGATTGGTCGATTTATTTCCTGTTACCCGATAATCTGCCCTGATAAATACCTACTTAAACGAATGATTTATTTTCACTTTTTGGATTAAATTACTTCTAGTTTCATTGCCAGTATCCATACCGATAATATCGATATTTTATTCCCGGTATACATGTGTAACGATACCAAATATCGATACAATTCAAATGTATCGCCATCACTACTGACAATCCTGCTCGCGAAACGGAAATGGGAACAGAAGGGGGAGGGGGGCTGAACGTGTTACGGCCTTGGGGTAGTCCGGAACCGTACACCGAACCGAGTCGAACCGAACCAACAACACGCTAAAGCTTAAATCGTACAAAGCACCAGTGCGTACAAATCACTCATCATCGTTTCACATGCAGAATCACAATATGTCTTTCTTTCATACGTATAATTACCATCGACGCAGTGACAGAATATATTATATATATATATATATATATATTTGTATATATATATTTATTTATATTTATATTTATATACAGTGAGCAACGAAAGTATCGGAAACGACGGGGTAGTCAAATGTTTATTATGTAAAAATTGGCAAAAATATTAAGAATTCTCAGCCGTTACAAACAAACGTTCGTTCCGAGGGAAAAGTGTACGATCAGTGTCACGAGTGTGTCACTTGCACAGCCTCGATCGGAAATGTGTACCCCGGATATCAACTTGTTCGATTTGTTCGCGGTTTCAACAAGCTAGTATATATTTATACATATATATATATATATATATATAGATATATCTATCATCTAGCTATTCGTATACGGTAATAAAAATAAACATTACAAAATATTCTTCCGCGCTTTAACTCCGTCACGAAATTCTTATATTTTATCGCGCTCTCTCTTGTATGTTATGTAAGTATGTATGTTCCTTTTCGTCGTATCCGTTCGAATGAAAATTGCTGCGCGCGCTGTGTCATTTCTTTACGGCGTTCGGACATCTCGAGGAACACGGGAAAATAATTCGTACGATTAGTGTCCCGTTTATAACCTCGAAACGTCGGTCCCGCCGTGAACACGTTTTCGTTTCGTTTTCTTTTTACACAATGCAACCATCGATCGCCCGCGACGTTCTGTATACTTTCGCCCCTCACTGTACACACATATAGGACTTTTTTTCATCTTTTCATTTTTTTCATATTTTTGTGTTTCATTACTAGTCCGTAGCAAAAAACTGGCAGCGGTGTGTCGCGGTTACATAGAATGTTCCGAGTAATCTCATATCTCTCTCTCTTCTCATTCATTCTGTGTGTATGTTGTATGTGTGTCTGTGTGTGTGTTTGTGTGTTCTCCGTTATTATTATTATTTATTCTGCGTTTTTTTTTTCTTTCCTATCTTTTCATTTCGAATTCGCCGTAATTGTAACCACACGTTATTTGAGGAAACGCGAGATTCACTGTTTTCGACGCCTCCGATCATTTGTATATTAACCACTTGTTACGTGTGCGCAAGGTGTAACGTTATATATACATATATACCGGGTGTCGCCGAACCACGTGGACCAGAGACTTCAGCGGTGTGCGTTCTGTAAATTGACTGTGGGTCAATTGTGACCCGTCTCAGAACGATCTCACAGGCACGTACGGGCATACACGACGATAATTTGTTTCATCCGACGGCCGGGTAAATTTTGACCCACGACAAGATTTCCATGTGTGCTGTATACAATATTGAACGATATTCATTTTTCGTCATTGATTCAGTACCCCGGTGGTCGACGAGTCGACGGCGACCCGGCCATAGGAATTTCTGACTTTCCGTCATCCTCGAGACAAGTGGGAACCACACACGCACACACACCCTTGAAGCTTGTCCCACGCAACCGTGTATACGAAGTCTAATATTCTCCAGAAACCGAACGGAATAACACGAAATGGATCCGTTCGTCGGAAGATGATTCGACACGAACGAGTTCAAGTTATATACTCTCTCTCGATGACCCGTATTTTCTTTCGGCGGTAAATTTATGTATTTTTCGTGACGCGAGTACGATACGAACACGTCATTTATCCCCCGATACACTTTTCGCAAGGAGGTTATGTTACATTTTTAAACAGCCAAACACGCGCAACGTGTGTGCCACGTGACCGAATACACCCACCGAGGCGACCAATGAACTCCCCGCACCTAGCGATTACGTCGCGCCACGTGATCTCGGCCACAAATGGTTAACGCAACGTGTCCACTTGGATAACCGCCTTCGTGCTTAAAGCTACGTGTCCACTTGGATAACCGTCTTCACCCTTAATCCGTTTACTTCTCAAGTGGTAATCGATCACGGAAAAAACAGTTGTATATCTTCGTTAAGCCAAAATGCATTTAAAACGTTATTACATATTTGTAACGATTATGTACAATGTCATCGAGAGGTTATGGTCACTCGTCCCATCGAACAATCTCCCGAAACGGACGAATCGTTTCGTATAGTATCGTAATTCCGGGTCGATATCACGGATCGCTCGTCACACACCCGGTGTATGTGTGTCTGTGTGTATGTCTGTCTGTATGTTCTGTATTGAATCGAGCGACGGTTTTTCGTTTTTTTCCATTTTCTTCTTTCTCTCTCTCTCACTCTCTCTCTCTCTCTCTCTCTCTCTCTCTCTTTTTTTTTCTCTTAAATATCGAGCACGCGATTACTTGCCGTTAGACTTTGCGGTTCTGTTTTAATGAGGTCTCAGTGTAACGATTTTATTTTTGCAACTATAGTTACAGTAATCGTAATCGTAGTCGTGGCTGTACGGCGGCAACAGGGACGTCGACTCGGGGGCCGGGCACGGTAGATGCCGGGGTCAGGCGAGCTCGTTGCTGTCGAGAAAGTGGCCGCGACAGTCGAGACAGGCGGCGAGATCGAGCACCAGATGATGGAGATTCGGATGCTCGAGCACCTCCGCGTCCGGCAACGGTGGATGGCAACGGGGCCTTTGCTGTCGGCCCCGGAACGCCCGATGGAGGTTCAGCACTACGTCGCAGAACACGTAACGGACCAGCAACAGCCGTAGGAAATCGTCGCCGAAGAACTGCAACACGCTGGTCTCTGCGACAACAGGGACCATTACGGATCTTGGATCAGTCGACGGTGTTTTTGAGGTTAGGAATGGCGCTCTTGCAAGGAAACACTGGGAAACGCTGACTGGTGGAATGGAATGAAACTTTGTGGATTTATAGAATCATTCAAGACGAGAGTAACGGTATGTTTAGTTCGTGCCCACTCGCCTTTTAGGGGTGTGGAAACTTATTCAGTGGTGGCGATGTGTTATCGGCTGAGAAGGTTCGTATCGGTAACACATCAGCCGCTATTACAGTTGGTGGTAGATGGTCGGGAGTTTTTTAAACTACGCAATGTCGCGACAATAGGATATAGATACAAGAAATTACGTTCATCGAGGAGTCTTTAACAAAAACAACCCTTGTTAAATGTTTCGATTTTTGGGGATAAGAACAGATTTCAGTATCAAAAAAGGAACCATGTTCTGATATATTCGGATAAGACGATTGATCGATTCTTAAGATTCTTAACGATATCGGGGAATTTTTTTGGTTTCTTAGAAAAGAAAGAACAAATTCGACAAGGTTTGTTTTTGTTGTGAGTTATTCGATTGTTTTCGGTGATTTGTGAGAACTCTTTTCACAGGCACACAGGTTGACAAAATGGTGTCGCGGTGAATGTACTGTTCCCTCAAAAAATGACAGAATACTATCATATGCTGCTGAGAAGTTCGTCATTTTTTAGAATTTTCTGCCAACGTAGATTTCTTGTTTTCCAGAAAACTTCTACACGTTGAATATATCATTCGGGACGTGGATAAATTCTAAAGTCTGGGCATGGATGTTCCAACGAAAGGGTTAGCCAACATCTCCCAGAGATTACGTAAGCGTTGATAACCCTTGCTCCAGATTCGGAGAGGCGTCGTCGGTGGAAATCCCGTCGCATAAACGCGCCAGTTTGCAATCCGCGAACGTCCAACGAAGAATCATCATCGGGAACACCCGGCTGACGTTTCCGATTGTCGTCGACAGAATACAAGAAAATCGAAAAATCGAACAGATTTGTTCGCCCCGTTTAATAGTTTCACTCTAAAAAACCGAATATGCGTAAAAATGAAAAATTGGAATTTTCGGAGTAGCGAAGTTCTCTTTTACTGCCCTCCTTACTTAAAATGTCCAATCTAACAGATAACCGTTTTTTAAGATTTTTAAAAATATTTCGAACCCTATATGCGTTTCACTCTTTTAATCGAAGCTAGAATGGCCTACGTGCTGTTCAGGGCTCTAGAAACTAGCGTAACTCCTTTGTATGATTCTATTATTCTATGCAACATCTAGTAACTTAGTCCTTAGTTTATGCCTCAATTATTTATGTTCCAGATACGTGTAAAAAAATAATAAAATAAATACGATTTAAACCGTTTCCTATATTAAAAGAGCTTACAATGGACAAGGACGACACAAAGAAAATGATAAAACCTAATTTCTCTCAGTTGTCTGACTATATTAGTTAGGACAATTGAACGAAGGAGGGTAGTTGTAGGTCTTCTACTTCAACAGCCTGTACAATATCGGCGTTAGATTAATTTGTACACCACCACGTGTGTCTGCCACCGTCCCACACGCGGAGGGGACCTGTCGTCGCGAACTTTTCAACGCGAATTATCGTATCGGTTAGCCGGTTGGGTGTTCCAGCCCCTCCCGATCGATTCGGCGAAAGTTTCTTGAGAAACGTATCGCGCGAAGCGTTACCTTACGTCGAGGGGGCGGTGCCCCCTGCTATCAGACACTCGACAAAGGGAGTCACCCCCCTCCCCTCCACTCTAGTATGTTCAAAACTCGTACGACATATCGCTGTCGCGCGGAGGGAACAATAGGGAGCCCCTTTGTGGCCGACCCTAGATCACGCGCCCTACGAGACGAGATTGCCAGTTCAGCGATAAACACGGAGCTGGGATCTAGGCCAGACTCTGTTTATCTCCCGTCGTGACGCAATCATAAGTCCCTTTTAACGGTGTTACACGAAACGAAACAACGTACACGGTGATTCTTCCACCCTGGACAAGGAGAAATACAGTAAATCATCGATGAGTGTTCGAAGGCTCCTCATCAAAAGTCCTCTAAAGATGACTCACCCTGTATAAACAGTTCGTCGATGGGTCGTCGACGACCCGACCATAGGAACACGAGAGTATTTTTTTCCTCCGTCGAATCGAATGCACTTCAGAGGTTACAGTTCCCAACACTCGGGATCAATACGAACGCAACGATCCCGAAGAACGGTTCCAACTGGACCGACACCACCCCTCCCCCCTCCCGCGAAATCAGCATACCGGAGCCAAGAAAGTTTCACCCGTGACGAGTGTCCCGTTGTCCGATATCCTCTAGGCGTCACCCACTTGGACTCGACGATCCAATTAGAAGACACAGTATCGCGACCTATCCAAAAATCCTGGGGCAACGTTGTCCACCTTGGATCTTTAGGGCAGAGTTGCCAGATGTTTTATACGACTCACCCAAAATACAATTGTCTAATATCATCTGAAGTCGCGACAATGCTGCGGCAAGAAATCTGGAACGCGCAGTTAACGAGGGATTTTAAAATTGAAGTAGTTTCTTTAGTATGATATACTAAATGGACCGCACGAGTTGTTTGAACGACATCTGTCGATCGAGTTGTAAGGATACTATTGGCTCTCGATAATTACCCGTTCCTAGAACTGCCCGCCTCGCTGCCCGAAAAAAGGTGCCACTTAGGAATCTTTTTTAAAGAATGCAAAGAAGGTATGACGGGCAACGTTTATATACAATAGAATTTTGAACCAATACGATTAGCGCGTCACCTACAATCCAAAAATATCGAAACATTTTTTTTATTTTCCGAAATGTATAATAAATAAAGGCCAGGAAATATTTTTTATCATATCTTCCTTGCTTTCTATAACAAAAAAAAATTCCTAAGTCTACCTTTATTCCGAGCCGCTAAAGGGAAATGGGGTAAGAAGACGAACGAGTGTAGGATTTTGTGCGACGCACAACAGGGACACAAGAGGAAAATTAGGTAGGGGTGTCCTGGAAAATCCCTTACCGCATCTGGAGCGGGTGACGAGCTGACACGCCTCGATGAGGAATCGCTCGATGTAACGCTGGCACCGCTCCCAGTGGTGCACGGCCAGGCTACCGATGTTGCATATAAGGCAAAAGGCGGCGAGTGGGGCGTGGAGGAACAGGGTGAACAGGCTGCCGCCGTGCCGCAGGTCCCGCAGGGTCTGTGGCGTGTCCTGCGGTGACATCAGCACCATCAACGGCTGCCCGAAGTAACGGGGTATCTGTTGGAACACGAAGCTGTTGTCCGAGTCGACGACCACGAACAACGGTTTTCTGGTGAACGGATAGAGGTCGCCCGGGTAGAGGCAGTGAGGCTCCTTCCCACCTGTCGGCCTCTTCCCGTGCTCCGGGTCCCTCTTGCTGCACGTCGACACGCCGCCCAGGTCGTAACCCACTGGAACAACCCACCCAAAAACCGGTTCATCAGTGTGGTAGCAGAGACATGGGCGTAGCCAGGGGGAGGGGGAGTATGCCCCGCCCCCTAAATGTGAAAAGAAGAAACTTTTGTAGAGGACACGCAGAAAATTCGAGTCCTGGAAAAAATTTGAGATGGGTCACTTTCATGGGCGTAGCCAAGGGGGAGCTGGGGGCGCACTTGCTCCTCCCCTCTGCACGGAAAGTGACTCTTGCTATACCCTAGAAGAGAAAAAATTGAATTTTGCACAAGGTCACATGAAGGTCACTAGATAGGTCTTGATCTGAAATATTACACAACGCTGATAAAAATATGTAAGTCTGTTAAAAAAAAACATAGATAACCTTGAATAGCTCACCCTATAATATTTCGAGAAACAGTTACGAATTAAGGAAAGATGGGAGCATACAACAGAACCGCCAATTAGCTCCATTTTTTCTATAAATAGCGACGATCGGTTGCATCGACTTTATGCTCGAACGAGCAGAAAGCCGGGCTTCGCGTTTCCACGGAACAATGAGGAGGCGCCTACCAAATTGGAGCGCCATGGTAAATCATTCGTGGCATCCTTCGAGAAATCATTTCTCGTCAAACTGGACGCGACGAATCTCAAACGATACAACGATCTATGTTCCTGAATATCTTTGTAAACTCTGGTACATCATTACGCATCATTGTGTATCTAAAACTTTTCGTTTCTTCTCTAGACTTCCATATACTTGTATATTGTACCAAAGGGTTCATAACCCGTTTATAAATAAATAAGTGTTATTATTATTATATCCATTCGAATATTCAAACGGCCAATGCGATTGAAGTTTCTCGGATATATGCGTCCATTCGATCCGAAATGAAAGTAACAGGTGAATATCGTGTAAATATACATATAATTCTTATCGTCAATTATTTCGAATTGGGCACTGAACAAACGTCTATTTCTCTTCGTAGCAATTCTGCCAAGTTAACTCTTTAACGCCCAGGTGCAACATAAAAAAAATGAAAAAAAAAACAGGTCGGTTTAATATCGATATTTTATCGATAATTTTGAAATAACGATTTAAAGGTCTGGACGTTAAAGGGTTAAAAGTAAAGTATTATTACAAGCGAATAAAGTCGAGTTATTATCATTATCTTGCAATTGCAATTCTCACACGTTTATTCGGAAAAAAGGGAAACGAACAATCAGGTCCCTTATCTTTTATGCGTTGTAATGAATTCAGCCATCGGAGTTTTAATCCTGCCATTTTTTCGGCCAGTCTCCCGTGTCTGACCATTGGCGGTCTATTCTACTGAAACGTTAATCCACTTACAAGGGAACCGGGGCGAAGTGTTACGCGGCGAGTTCGACTGAATTTCCACGTACAGAGTGAATCAGAAATCATGGTACAGTTTGAAATATGATTTTTTGTTTGTTTGTAAATTGAACTTAATTATTCGAATAATGTCACAGTCAGAATGTACAGCCAAAAGCATTGTGTACAGATTGTACAGATACAAAAATGGTTATTATTAACACTTAGTATTTATTACGTAATACGTAAATACGTAATGTATTCTCTGCATAAAATAAATAAAAATAAATAAGACAGTAATGTTACGCCAAGTATTTCACAGTCCACTGTCCGAAGGTTAACAGAAAAGATAAATGTGTAACCAACCGCAATTTCTGCGAATGAAATTCACTCAAAAAGGGAAAAAACCAATAAATCTATTTTTTTTCACCCGCAACGATCCACCAGTCGATCCTTCTTAAGCCCCAGACGCGCCTCGAGTGGAGATTTCCATTGCGTTCTCGCGATCAACGACAGTCATTGTCTGGTTCGACGGCGGTAACCGAGGCCAGACAACGATCGGAAACGGGAAAACGTGTCGTTAGACACCTGGCCACAATGATATTGACGCCTTTCCAACCCTCCAGTCGTGTTTCGATATCGATTCCGAACTTAGCAATCCGCCGGCACGTCGGAATCTCTGTCGCGGTATGACCTTGACACGGATGCACCACTCTACTTTCGTTTGAAAGACCGTTTTTCCCCGGGTTGTAACCTCGCCCAGCCAAAGCCGTTGAATAGCGGTCGCGAAACGCTCATTTTCGTGGTCGTGTCGGTGTGAATTTTTCAACGGCCACCGAGACCTTCGGAACCCGGACAAAATCCATCCCCCACCATTTTATTTTGTTTCTTTCTAACCTCCCCTTTCGGAAACGTACCTCCCTCTCTTTTCCTCTCTGTACGTTGCGGCAAAAGAATTAGCGACAAGGTCGAACGTACCGAAATCGCGAAGAACCTGGTGTGTTAATATTAGGGATGTTACGAATATGTGAATGATTCGAACCCTCGAATATTCGAAGTATTCGAAATATTTGGATTATTCGGAGTAGGTATTCAAGTAATCAAATGCTTCGTGCTATTCGATTATTCAAAGTGATCGAATTTATCGACACTTCTATTGCTCGAATATGAAAATATTCAAATACTTCGTACTATGCGAAGTTACTAATACTAGGACTTAAGAATACTAGGATACTGGGATATTGAATTTTTCATATTTTTCTAATTTTTATGTTAGTATTCGTTTTTTTTTAAATTGAAACACGGCTGGCTAAGAGAATTCTAATGTTCAAAGTAATTGTAACACTCAACTCCCATAATTTGAGCCTTGTCCCTTGAAAGAAACACTCGTTCGAATTTCATCCTCTTCTCGGAAGCTACCAACGCGACGAACAAAATGGCGGAGAGAAACACGTGATCGTTCTAAGCAGAGAATCCGACACCTTTTCCCATCACACTTGTTTCGTGTGGTATATCGAGTTTGAAATTAATTTCTAAAATCAGATCTCACGCGTACACGTTATATGCATTTTGAAACAGCCTGTATCGCTCGAATGATTCGTGCCGCTAGCAACTGACCCACTTACGACGTCCAGCGGCACGAATTAACCGTTCCGTAACTTCGAAAGTATATCGAATAAATGTCGCATAGGTGGAGCTGGCAGTAATCAGAGATCAGTCGTGGGGAGGTGTCGGTCCGGTTATCGAGACACGTGGAACATTAGGAAACCATTTAAACGACCTGGATTTCGCCGTTCGGGTTAATTCAGCGACCGTGACGGATAAAGGGTCACGGCCACGCCAGCCGTGGTTCCCCGCGAGGTCAACCTCGAGATGTCTTCGTTTCAATCCGCATGAAAGTTGCACGAGGATGGCCGCTAATTAAAGAGGGCGAAGAGAGAGAAAAAAGAAAAAAAGACAGTGGGTACCGCCTTGGTGCTTCTTGCCTCGAAACAGCGATCTTTCCAGTGGCGCCAATTAAGGAGCCAGGTGTTTCCTTTCTAACGTTTCGTCAGAACTGAACTGTTCCCCTTAACGAAATTATTTTTAGAACCCGTGATAATTTCACGTAATTGTTTCCATATCGAGGTCAAGGTTCGTCGAAAAGTTTCTGGTTGTTAAATGAATTTAGACACAGCTGGTATATTGATAATAACAATAACGTGTAACGAAAGCATTTCGTGTAATCGTTAGTATAGTTCGGTAAATACCGTGACTGTGGGGTTTCGTTAAGTGCTCGCGGGGAATCAGTGACGAGCATTTAACCAATCCGACTTGTAGCGGATTTAACGAAGGAGAACATGAATATTTCTGACGGTTCGGTGTCACTGAACCGTTCGTGAGGATATGTTTTAAATAATTAATAATGTTACCGTTAGAGCTTCTTAACAGTTGAAATTTACACTTTAATTCTTGTTAGACAGTTATCAGCCTCGATATTCCATTAAAATGACTTGGGAAGCCTAGTTCCTTCGTTTCGCAGAAACCTAACCTAAAATCCAAGCAATAAAAAATCGTCTATTCTAGTAAAAGAATTGGATCGTAAGGATCACAACCTTATCGATCTCTTTCTAAAATGACCTGGGAATCTTAGTTTCTTCGTTCCTAAGAAACCTAACCTAGAAGTCAAGAAATCACGAATCACCTCTATACGAGCAGATGAATCGAATCGCGACGGACCACAAGCTCACCAGTTTGAGGTTAAATAAACGTCCACGAGTAGGAAACGGAATACGAACAATTAGCCTGTCAAACCACGAAACGCAGTTGTCGGTTTTCGGGCGCGTTTACATAATCGTATCCGTGGGGCGACAGCAAGGGAGACTGGGGGCTCGACGAGAAGTCTTCAGTTCGTCGACGAAGCCTCGTAGCCGCCTAGGAATCGGTGAAAGGCGATAGTCCGACTCGCGTAATCCAATTAGCGCCTTTGGGTAACCCGTTCCGCGGACGTTCACGGATATAGTATACGCGATCGTTGGTAGACCGGGTAGCCCCCGTGTAACACCGTTAGAACACGGCTTATCTGCTGACGGCTGTTCCGATCCAGAGAACACGGAAAACCCGTTCCCCTCGATCGACGAGCAAAAGCAGCATCGACGGATTACCCCCACCCCTTCCCTTCTTCCCACGGTCGAGGAAACTGACCGAAAACACCGACACGCGTTCACCTTCGGCTCCGTCGAGCGAGTGATTCGCTTTAAACCGTGTGCTGCCCCCTCTGTCGCGATAAGTAATTTTCGGCCGATCGACGTACCTCCTCCAACCCCCAATTGAAAATCGTTCGTTTATTTTTATATCGAGCCATTCTCTCGGCCGACAGAACATTCATGGTGAAAGAACGTTCGGTGGCTTTGATCCCTAGTGGGTGATGGCGTGGGGTCTCGATAACTGCTCGCGTGGGTTCACGATAAGTGTTGTGCGCGGACTAGCCGATTGGAATGGAGAGTTCTTTTGTGCGTTGAGTGTACCGTTAGACGAGCGGAGTTCTGAAGAAACTGAACGATTTAGGGGAATCATTTCAATTAGTCTACGATGATTTGCGTGGAAAATCTTTTTTTTCTTTGTCTTCCACCTTATTCTGCACATCCTGTAGATATCTTTATTGAACAACGATTAGATTTCGATAATTTGAGCTTAACGATTAGACGACAATTTACACGACGAAATTTTTTAATCATCCGCCGATAAATAAGATGCGAAAGAATAAACGTCAGATTAAGAACCAACAGAATCTAGCACGCCTGAAGGGGAACATACATGGTGTCTCGCGAATCGTGATAAAAATAGTGAAAGCAGCCGTTCGATTGAACGAATCCGAGTTGTTGAATGAATTTCTTTATACGAGGCTTTGTTTACGAGAAAATCCAATTTAGCACGTGCCGCCACTGAACCGCAACGGGATAGCGTGTCTGATCATTGCGTACTTATACTACTTGTTGGAAACTGTCGATATATCGTATTTCTATCGGCGTCCTCTATCTTTCCATTATATCGCCGATCAAAGATACGATCTTACACGAATTAAATAGGTGAATTTTTAAAATCGTGTTTTCATGAAAAAATTAATTATTAAATGAACAAATAAAAAAATTGATTCAATTGCCACTTTCCTAACCAAATCAAATCCTTTAATTTGTCAATAAATCTTCCCTTAAGGGGTATTCTACCACTGCTTGCCCATCACGGAGAAAATCGCGAAAAAGGAAATTGTGTACAATTGTCATTATTAAAAAATGAATTTTTTTCCGAATTAATTCCGTGCCCTTGCAAGTAAAAAGTTGTTTCATATCATCCCAGGAACCCCTCATTCCCGCGAATCGAGACTATTTTGTAATACCCTGTATAGCTCCCAAGTGGGCGCGAGACTAATGTGTGTTAAAAGATCAGAAAAAAGAAAGGCTGGGGACAAACACACTCACGTTCCTCCGGGTGTTTAACGGTGGAGAAGCATCCGTCCGCGGACAGGTACAACAGCAACGCCCCGTTCGCGGGCAGCTCCTTGAAACCGCTCGCCAGGAACACCTGTACCTGACTGTAGGTCGGCTTGTACAGCAGGTACTTGTGCGGATTGTCGCGTCTAGGCGCGCCGTTCTCCGCTCCAGGATAAGGTCCCGGCCTGAACGGCATCCGTCCAGCGGGCGATGCGTCGTGCAGATGATTCGGATCGTCGCGTGGCTCCCTCTCGAAGGTCTGCAGCATCCTGAACATGTCCATCGACAACTCGCTGAACTTCACCTGATCGGCGCAATTACCGACGATCAGGATCTCCTGCAGCGATAGGCACATCGGTGGCGTACGTTCGACGGGCGGCGAGGTCTGCGGTCCGAGCCTGTGCGTGAGTATCACGGGGTTCGAGGAGTCCGTGTGCACCACACCCAACGCGGTCTCGGCCTTCACGAACGCCTTGATCTCGTCCAGCACCAGATTCCATTCGAGCTGATCGTCCGGCTCGTATGTGCTCGTGTAATCGGCGATCTGGGCGTCGAACTCTTGGACCAGCTCGCGGACCAGCTTCATACGGTTCAACAGAAGGCAGACCACGATGAAACGGGCGTAGTACCTGAGCTTCTTCACCATTAGATCGCTCCTGTCCTCCTTCGCGGCCCGGCTGTAGTACGCGCGACCCCGTATCGCCGCGTAGAACGAATAGGCCTCGTGCAGGTAGCTGGTCTCGCTGGTACGGAGGTAATAATGGTAGTAGAGCTGGCCGATCTTGCTCGCGATCTCGCCGATCTGCCACCTCTTCAGGCCGTACTTCGTGTCTAGTATCGTCCTGGAAAATATCGGGGACGATGGATTTAGTTGCGTTGCGTGACGGCCGTGGTAGGTAAAAGAAGGAAGGGGATAACAACGCCGCGACTCGCGGATTGGAAACTTTTGTGGGTTTTTAGAGTGATTCTGGACAGAGATAACTTTCTACTTAATTCGTGACCAATTGCTGTTTAAAGAACAAGGGAGTAGGCACTCGCACTTTTTCGCATGCAACTCTGGAAGTATAAAACATAGAAAAGAATGTTTTTAAGAAAAATTTAATGGTGCAACAATAGGGTGACCATTCGTCCTGGATTTTATCATGAAAAACGTTTAACGTTTCTACGTGATTTTCACTCGCGCGTAAACGTGCGAACGCTCGCGGAATACGTCGCGTGTGGATAGAAGAAATCGCGAAAGGGGCGGGGAACAAAGGCGCGAGGGGAGGAGCGACGCTGTTGTCCCGCCGCGACAACGTCGACGCAATAAAAGGGACAACCGTGATCCCGGTGACGGACGATACTTTTGAAACGGTCCCGCGCGCACGAAAAACTTTTTCCTTCGCATTGTTTTGACGGGGCGTGGATAGAAAGAGAGAGAGACCGCGATACTGAAAGAGCCGTCGCCGTCCTCGATATATTTATTAACAGACGGACGCCCGCGCCCGTTCTACGCTGGGCGACGCCCGTCCTGGCGTGAATAGCTGAACAACAGACAATCGACTCTTTGTCGAGTTATCCACCCCCTCCCTCGACCGACGCCACTTTACGATCAAAGGGAATAGGGACAAAGGGGTTTCGAAGATTACGGAATCGAATGGATAAATAAAAGACGCTCGGTGGGCAGCGATGTGCTTCCTCCACCGGTCTAGGCTCCTCCCACTTTTTGCTTTTTACAGCCACGCTTGTCCGGAACACGGAAACTGGGAAGATTGTGTTGGTTACTGTGATCGGACCGTCATAAGCAAAAATTTTACACATAAGTATAGAATGATATTCCGGCAACTCCGGTGGCTGAGTCAATCGTGACCCATTAATAAAATTACACATACGTATGCATGGAATGATATTCCGATACGTCCGATAAAACGGTGAATTGTAATTAATGATGAAATCAGAAATTGTACAGCTCGTGTTAATGTAATAATGGTACATTCAACCTTTCAATAACACGATTCATTCTTTCCATATTGTATCAAAACCGAATTAAGCGAAACTAATTATTAAGTATACAAAGAAAATTCTCCGTTTACGTTAATTAAAACCAGTGTGATGGAATCATTCGTGCTCCACGAAGATTGTCAAAGTTTATTAAGTGATACTACATATACGGAAACCTTGTGGTTTAGGAGTGCTGTCGCAATTTTTGCACCATGTTTTCATAGTACCATATTATTGGGTTGTTCCTAATACAAATAATACAGCAATGGGTTTCAGTATGAAAATATTTTCTCCGGTATACTCTATGGGTTCCAGGAAAGGAAAATCGCCCCCACACTTATTAGACTTCCGTGTGACGGTCGAAGGCGCAATAATTCTAGGGTTAACTGTTCACACGACACACTCACACATACGTGTTTACGGGGGTGGTTTCGCCGTGAAATTACGCGGCGTCGATACGGTTCGCCGAAGGGAACCGCTCGGACCAATGCGCCTCGGCGGTGCTGCTACACGAGGGTTCGGTCACGTGGCCTACCCAAGAATCTCTGTGATACGAGAAAAAAAAAAATCGATCGGTCGAATTGGCAGACCGTTAAAATATACACTGGCGATTTCACTAAAAATATCCGCGATCGAGAAGAGAACCGTGGTTAATACGGGTTACAGTTAGCGTCGGAAATATATATATATATATATATGCACACCTTGCTTATAATATTTAGTGCCACTCGAAATTCTGTGTTTGGTTATTTTACAAAATTATTGGTTTCGAATATTCTTGTAACATTAATTGGTTTCGAAATGAATTATTTTACTTGGTAATTTTTTCTAATTTTTCGGTAGTTCGAAAGGATATAATTTGTCATGAAAAACACCAAACAACAGAACCATACTATAAACGGAAAACAATATGAAAAATTCCTCAAACATTTAAAAGAATAACTTGTGCAAAACCAGTTGTCTCAAACAGAAAAAACGAACAAAGCATTATACGGACTCCCTACGTCTTGTTACCATTCCCAACCTGTAACCCAATGAAATTTTTTATTTACGAAACTATAGACTGCAGACGTTTACCAAAACCCACGCTACTACAAATTAAATCTCAAAGACAAGAACCGAACGAAACTTCGTGTCTGCAGGCAAGAATATCAAATGTTCAATAACATTCTCAATTTCACCACTCAAATACACTATAAACTCATAAAACCCTCGATCTGTTAATTGACAAGATAATACACTTTTTCTACTAACTCTACAGATACCTCTCATCTTCGTCTCAGTTAACCTCTTTTACACACAACTCTACGATACTAAGAATTTCAAACGATCCTCAACAAATTTTCAATTTTCCCGCGTCCCACACATTCAAGTACCCCACAAACTAGTAAAATCCTCGTTCTATCAATCACCACACGAACTTCACACCTTCTTTCAAATCTCCCCCGAAAGACCGCGAATCGCGACCAACTCTGCACACATCGATCCTACAAATCCGCACAGCCCCGTTCAATTCTACCGTGTTACAACCGTTCCCACGAGGTGTGTATATACACCCATTTTCAACACACACCATCTATAAGCAACACTGGGGTGGAAGAAACGGTGTGTTTTGCACGAGGGAGAGGGAGGGGGTGGTCAGAGTGCAGTACGAAACGGATAGTAGAATCCCATTGTGCACACAGGCGGTCGTAGAAGACACCAGAGGCGATCGGTACCCGACCGAATCGACACGTCTGTCTCGTACGCGACCGAACCGATACGACTGCCTCGTACGCGACCGAACCGACACGTCTGCCGCTCACCCGGAAGAGTATATCGCCGTTAAACATCACTCGAGCCGGTCTCTGTCTCAAGTAGCTACCATTGTGTTCCCTTCACCGTATGTAGTAGTACATCGTTCACACTCGCGCACAAATACACCACCACAACCCCCCGTGTTCCACTCGTCACATGGTGTGCTCCTCCTTAAAGGCGCGTAGAGGATCGGTCATGGGTTCCCAGTTCCGTGGGCGATTCCCCGCCTAGTGTCTGCATCAAGGGACCATGCGTTTCCACAGAGTACAACGTGTAGTCACCGAACAGAGGACCGAAGAATCCAAAAATGAAAAGAAGTAACCACGTTTGTGTCGGTTCGGAATCGAACGAGGATCACAGAGGAGACAGATAAATGGACCTCGTGGCACCCCCCGATCACGAATTGATTTCACACCATCAAGAACAGAGAAGGGGATAAGGAGGGAGGGTTCTCACCGTAGACTCACCACCGATGATGACTCACCATCGCACAAACTCCACACACACACACACGCGCGCGCACACACTCGCTCACCTGTGCTGCTGCTGGAACTTCCAGAGCTTCGTGTAGATGTCAAAGGTGCGCCCGAAGTAGCCCTGCCACTGCTTGTGCCCGTACTGTGGCAGATCCCGTAGACCGTTGAACAGCTGCTTACTTTTTTCGAGCAGATGGCAGAACTCTAGGACGACTTTACGCTCGTGGTCGTCCATGCCAGCCATCATGACCATCTTTTCCGGATTTTTTGTGTCGAGGCTCAGCGGCCACTCTCGGGCTGGACGCGCACACGACGGCCCTCCTTGATTATCAGAGAACACGACGACGACGACGACGGGTCGGTCGGCGGTGGCCCCGCGTGATGGCGCCTACCGATCACCGCCACCCTCTCTCTACTTGCACGCGTGCTCGATCACTTCTCTGTCTTTCTCTCTCTCTCTTTCCCCGTGGATACGACGACGACGACGACGACGACGACCACGACCACGACGACGACGACGACGACGACGGACGACGACGCCGCCGCGACCACCGCGCGCGCCGACCGACCAATCAATACTTGCCCATCCCGCATCAGGGGGCGCACCGTGCGCGCCAGCGTACCCGCCACCGAGACCGATCATGACGCCACCGACGACGAGAACCCATGCCGCGCGTCGCAACGTCGACAGGGGACATCTGTACGATGTATGGGACAGGCTGGTACACAAGACACCCCTATGGATCGGTTGCGATCGATGATTTTGTGCTGGATGGTACAGCAGACATTCGTTTAATGCAGTCCCTTTTATTAATACGTTGAATGCCCTGACCTGTGACCCCCGCTCTTGGGAGGTCTGTAAAGTTAGCACCCCCAAAACCAACAGTATTCGTTTGCCTACGATTTGTCCACATTTGTCTAAGCAACATTTTCGTTTGTCCACCCTTCAAAATAAGTTATAAACAAATAAAGAAATTTGTCACCAGCACCTCCCATGAACATTTTTCCTTAATTCTCAAATTGTTGCTTTGATTGGTTCCAAAGGGAAACCGCCTCCAGTCGTGAGAATAATACCGTTGTTCGTGTCGCATTTATCGAAGGATCACTGTATAATTTCAGGCAGGTATTTTGTCATGATCTCGGTCGAAAGTATGTTTAAAATAAGTAAATATTTTCGTTTTAATTTAAATTATATACTTGAATAATTTTACATTTGGCCCCCTACAGCCTCGAAAGATGCAATAAACGAATGTCCTGGTGTAAATGACGAGGGAGGATAACAAGGGTGGTATGTGAATGGTTATCTAGGGGTTGTTCGGAGGGTTTCTATGAGGTGTGGTAAGTCGTGAGAGACGGGTGTGATGGCGCCACTGGGGCGTATGTTGATTCTAGTCCTAGGAAAGAGGGGTTTCTGTGTGACCCACGATTTTTGACCTATTACCGGTGTAAAGAGCTGGATGTGTAAGAATTTTTGGTGAAAATAGCATTATACACGGCCATTTATAAGGGACTTTGGTACACCACCGTCTCTACCTTTTTCCTGGCCAGTTTTTCCATACAACGAAAAGTAACGCAGACATTTAGGTGATCATATTCAGATGCGGTCCAACCTGTATAATAAATCTCTATCAAATCTCATTATGGGTCACGATTGACTCAGCCATAGTAATGCATGTAGTTTTTCACTGCCAGAAAGTTATCCTCTGATTTGAAGTTACAGATAAATTTCTTCGAACATACTCTTTCATAAACATTCATGAAACAACCCCCACGACGGTCAAAATGTCCGTATAGATCTATAAATTACCTAGATCCTCGGTCTACTCAATTACCTTGATCATCGATAATTCACCCGATTTTTCGACCGAACCTCCTCTCGTGTTTCTCCTTCTCGATAATTAAAATTTCGTAGTCGAAGGGGTTGATGGAGGGTGTGGGCCGGCTGCGAATCCAAGGGGGTAGACGAACGAAGGGGGTAGGAGGCGCGGCCGACACTTTCGTTGTCGTGGCTCGTTACCGGCTGCAGAAACGGTGGGAGTTTTGCCGCCCTGCTGGCCGCCACCGTCGCCGTCAGCGTAGATTAATTAACTAGATAACGTTCGGTGGCTGCGAGGGAACGCACGTTGGAAGAGGAGGGCCCACGTTCGCCAGAAAGAGAGACACACCGGGACACCGTTCACAGGCGGGTGGAACGATGTAGGAGACCGTGCAACCATCCCATGTGAACCCCTCCCGATGACTAGCGATGGGCTCAAGACGCGGCTGACGGAAGTTCGGGAACACTTTCGAGTGGGTCTGCTACCTTTAGGGGGATGTCGAACTGATTTAACGATGGGCCATTGCGTGCATTGACGGGATACTCTCGACGCGACTGTAGCGATTTTTATCTCGTGAAGAGAACGAATACGATATACGTTTTCTTATAAGAGGCTATGTCGAATGCTTTTTTGAACCCATTAACCCTTTAATGGCTGCTTGTTTAATATTACGTCTGTTGCGTACGGTCTTAAAATGATTACATTCGTAATAATAACGTATAATGATCGTCTCTTCTGTACTATTTATGTATTATATTGTTACGTATTGTATTGTTTTGTTCGAATCTTTATTTTTCTTCATCTTCTCTCTCTACGTATTTTAATTCTATGTTGTGTAAACATAAATGGATTTTACATAAGCTGCGCGTTCCGATTGGTAGTCACCGTTACCGCGGGAACTCGGCTGGCAGACTCGCGCTCTCATTGGTCGGGGTTTTTCGTTAATACCTCGTGAACAAAGCCTCGGATACCATTTTTGCTAAGGGAAAACTTGTTTCAAATCACCTCACGAGTCTCTCATTTCCGAGTCCTCCAACATTTTTGTTACACCCTGTATATAGAGAGACAATTGAACGGCCATTGCTAGCCCATGACGGGGTATTTCAGAGTCGTACGGTAGGTACCGAGGCGTATATCGACTGTGTCGCCTCATCTACAAGTCAATCAGGCTCGCGTGCCAGCGACTCGTGAAGGCGGCTGGTACCACGTAAGTAAGTAGCCGCGGCCCTAGCAGGCTAGCTATAGCCGGCCAGCTAGCCCCAGCCGGCCCAGCCGTCCATAGGATATGTATATATACACGTATACAGGGTGAACCACGAATCGTGATCAGTAGAGATTACTCTGTTATTAGCAGTCCGATCGGGACTGTTTTATATCAAGTATAGCCTGGTTTCAAGAGAGCTTTAACGTAATTATAGCAAATTTTGACAACTCCTTTTTTCATGAATTTTCAAGATCACCTTCAATTTATTGAAAATACACCTATAACTTTTTTACGCCAAACACATGTTATGTTATGATGCTTAACGAATTCGTCTTGAAATCCTCTAACAGATAGGCGTACAAAAATTATAGGTGTATTTGCAAAAAATTCAAGGTAACCTTGAAAAATCATGAAAAAAAAAAGAGTTGACAAGAAATGTGCTATAATCACGTTAAAGCATTCTTGAAACCATGCTATACCTGATAAAAATATTTTCGACTGGACTGCTAATAACAGAGTAATCTATACTGATCACGATTCGTGGTTCACCCTGTATACCTGCGCCTGTGGCCCAGGTACCTAATACGATCGCCGACACCGGCCACCTTTATGCCGGGTATGCAAGTATAATGCGCCGCTGCATATATGAATGCTTATGGTAATTCCTCCCGAGGCGCGCGAGCGGCAGCAGCCTCGTTTCGACGCTGTTGGCCCCCCGGATGCCTGGCTAGATAGACCACGACGGCACCCCGCCTCGGCCCGCCTATTGTTATCGGGGATGCCGTGTGCCGTTTTTACTATCGGCCCACGGGGGCTAGACGCATACATAGATAGACACGTACACGATCACCGTTGGTTCTCTCCCCTAATTTCTCGGCAATCCGAACGGGGATAACCGTGGAAGAGGGTAAGTACATTCTGGGAGTATGTAACGCATCGAAGGACAATGATGATAAGCTTAGTGCGGCGGTGATTATTAGAATGGTAGACTGATTAGTGGGGATAGTAAACGGAAGAATTAAAAGGCGCGTTACAGACTGAGTTTATTAGTTGTTAGGGAATTGGGAAGATATTAAGATTTGCATTGAAATTGTTTCGAGATGATAGGTGAATCGGTTTGGGGGTTGGAGAGGTCCGAATTTAGAGGAGTAGGGCTTTGGAATAGAAAGTACTCAAGAACCAAGGACTCAAACCTGAGACTGCTCAGAGCCAAGCATTCGGAACTGATACCTCTCAGATTCTAAGGACCTAAGATAGAGACCTTCTAAACCTAAAATCCAAAATTGAAACACTTCGAATACAAAAACACCAATATGAAGGCCTTTCGGGAACAAGATCTGGACCAGAAACCCTCTTGGAAACATTCAACTGAATCTTTAAGTCTGAAGGTGCCAAACTTGATTAAATCTCAGGGTCCAGGATCCCAATGTGTGTCTAAATTAAGTTTCTTGAGTATATTTCGAACTAACCCGTATTTTTCAGTCTTGTATCAGTCTAATTCTAATTTTCATATGCCAGTAGAACCTCGATTAAATTTGTGTGATCCTGGCTCAACTGAAATTTTCGTAGTCCTAGGTAGACCCGATTTCTATCTGCCAACCCCGTAGTCGCCTCATTTCTGGCCTTGCAATTCAAGATTGTTCCGATTCAAGTCTCCCAAATCGAATTCACGTTGTGTCTTGGAAGATCTGTGTCATGCCAATCTCTCTAGACTTTCGATCGATAAGAGTTCGCATCGTTAACACTCAGGCTACATGGAATACTGAATCCTGTCCCCAAAAAGTTACCCAGACCTGTATCTTTCAGTTCCACTGTGACCCAGTTCAAGTTTCTCGGTCAATTCGAAGTAATCCCATCTCGAATATTAATCATCGTCTATCTTCCCAGCGTCACGAAAAACAAAACCCACCGTCTATCTTCCGTTCAATGTAATCTGCCTCGCCGGTTCGAGAAGGATCTGGCCGCGTTGGAGGAACTATCGAACCCGGATATATCGTGTATGAATTTCAATCGGTGACTCAGCTCGAAATACCAATCCTGCCGCCGCCTGGTCGAATCGTAGTCGAAACCCATGGCACATGGATCCGTGTCCATGACTGGAAACCCACCGCACACCACGGTGGGCGGCAGCCGGCCTGTCCCGTTCTATAGACGAGCGATCATATCGGGTCGTTAACTGATATTAATAGCAGGGCGCGGTGGAACAGTCTAACTCGTTGCCCACGCTCTCCGATTTCCTCTCCCTTGGCCACCCTCCCCGCGATCGTTCCCCGCCCCCCTTCTCGCTAAGCAACGGAGCTTGTCCCACCTAAGGGACCCTTGCCCTAATTGTAACAAATTAAATCACGCGATATCGATG